ATATATAGAATATACTCAGCAGAAAAAAAAGGACAATGATTTCAAATTTCGTAAAAAACTGAAAGGAAAGCAGGTAAAAATGAAGTGAGTCGCAGAGTACTGTAGGAGGGTGAGAAGAGACTGCTTATGGGTGAAGGATGAAAGGCCGTTGGAGCTGGGCTTGTTTTTTACACATTTCAAAATAAAAACCAGATCACAGTATTCAAATGAAAGTGGAAGTGAAGGCAGACATCTTCTTCAACTCCTCCGGGTTGAAAGGACTGGTCCCTCCCCACCCCCACCCCATTTCCAAAAGCAGTGCGGCGGGGTGCAGCTGGCGGTGGAATCGTCTCCATACCCTGCGGAAGAGCGGGCAGGGGAGCAGCAGAGTCCACCTCTCCACTCGCAGGGAGCGGAGAGTGGGCAGAGGGAGCGGAAGAACCACAGACCCCGTGGGGAGGGGCTCTGGAAGAGAAGAAAAGAGCCCAGGCTTCCCGTCATCGCCCCAACGCGGCCACTACCATGAACGTGTAAGTGCGCGCGTGAGTGTGCGGGGACCGTGCTGTCAGGGGATGAACAGGGCAGGACAGGGGAGCCGGCGCTGCCGCCCTCACCTGACCTTCTCACTGTCCGTCATCTGCCAGAGTCCCAGGTTGAGTACCTTGAGGCAGGGCAACTGTGTGATGCGCTCCAGGCCGCGCTTGGTGATCCTTGTGCAGCCGTACAGGTCTATGCCCGTGAGCTGGCTCAGGTGCTCCGCAATCAGCTCCAGACCCTTGTCCGTGATGCGGACACACTGTCCAATGTTGAGCGTGCGCAGCCCGTGCATCTGCCGCACCATGCGGTTGATGCCATCGTCACTGATGTGGCAGGAGCAGAGGGAGAGGGACTTGAGGCCGTCTAGTCCCTGCGCTATGTAAGCCAGACTCTGGTCCCCCACCTTGTCACAGAACGACACATCCAGACCCGAGAGGCGAAGGCTGCCCATGGCTAAATGCATGATGCCCGTGTCGCTGATGTTGTCGCAGGAGCGCAGGTTAAGGCTGCGCAGGCTGCCCATGTGCGACAGGTGCAGGAGGCCCGCGTCCGAGATGCCCCCGCAGAAGCTGAGGTTGAGGAGCCTTAGGCCCGTCAGCCCTCGCGAGATGTGCTTCAGGGAAAGGTCCGTGAGCTTCTGGCAGTCCTGCAGAGTGAGCTGCTCCAGGCCCAGGCAGCCCTCTGCTGCGCTGCGGGTCATGCCGGCCAGGTGCCCGATACCCACATCCGAGAGGTGGCGGCAGCTGCGGAGGTTAAGGCTCTTGAGGCGCTGCAGCCCCCAGGCGATGAGCAGGAGGCCGGTGTTGGTGATGTTGCTGCAGCCTCCCAGCTCCAGCACTTCCAGGCCCTTGAGATATTGGGCGATGCGGCCCAGGCTGCTGTCGGTGATCTGCTTGCAGAGGCTCAAGTTGAGCGCGCGCAGGGAGCCGATCTCCTGCACGAACGCATGGCCCAGGCCGTTGTCGGTGAGGTTGTAGCAGCCACTGAGGTTGAGGCTCTCGATGTTGGCCATGCCCTGGATCACGTAGCTAAGGCTGCGGCGCAGGCTGAGGATCTGCACGCGGCGGATGCCCCGGGCCTGCAGGCTGGGGAACAGCGACGGGTTTGCCCGGCGCAGGTGCAGCTTGGCCTCCACCCCCCGCCACACCGACTTGTGGTAGGCGGCGTCCCGCCAGGCCGTGCACACCTGCGCCGCGCGACCCTTGTCTCGGACGTCCAGGTAGCCGAAGATCATGGCGAGCAGTTCGGGGAACAAGCATGAGATGTGGGTCTCCATCTTCCTCCTGCCCCTGCGGGCGCCGGGTGTAGGAGGCTCCGCCGCCGCCGCCGCCCCGGGAGGCGCCGAGAGCCGGCCGCCGCAGCCGCCGCGGGCCCACGG